AAGAGATTGAGATTTTTGCAACTGAAATAGAAACTTTTTAGCAAAATGTCAAAGAGTTAGATTCAAAGCAGTAACCAACAAGGAAAAACGCTTAACGATAAAATAAACAAAAAGAACAAGGAAAAATTCTTTAAAATATCTCAAATCTATCCACTAGTTTTTTTCACTTTATATTTAATTATATCGCAGTGGTATTTTGCAAAAAATATTTTTTTTTTATTTTGTAGATTCTTGCTTCAATGTGAAAATACCCAGCTTTTTTCCCAGAAATTATTTTATCCATTTACAGAAACTGTAACAAAAAATTACTTAGAAAAAAGGTCATTAAGAGTTAAATTAATATACCGGTTTCATAAATAATCCTTTATCCAAGACTGTCTGAAAAGTCTGAAATAAATGGGAAAGTTCTTTGTTAATGACTTTAAACGAAACGGTAGGTACTCGAAAAACTTGCCGTCGGTCTGTAAACCAAATAACACTTATCAAACTTGCCGAGTCATTTACCCTACAAGGTAGATAGTAGCAAAACGTTTTTATAACGAGAATAAAGTTTAATAATGTCCTATTTTACTCAAACTTATGTAGGCTTTTATCTCTGTTATATACGACGAAGAAGCAGCTATTTGCTATTAAGAATTCTGTTTTTGATATAAATATTTTAGCGCAAGTTTTAGAACGTAATGAAATTCTGGACTACGATTCTTTTGAAGTGGAACTATAGATTTTAAACTGTATGTATGGAGTGTCAGTAGAGCTGTAACAAATCAGTGTTAGAAGACTTAAGTCTTAAGTCATTTCTAAAGTCAAAATGCTTTAAATCTTAAGTCAAATTCAACAAAAAGTTCAAATGGTTTAAGTGTGATGTCTTATAAACGTTGACTTACATCATTGTCTGTCGTTGACTTACATCATTTTATTTCAAGTCAAGTCATTATTGTAAGGACTTAAATCAATATAACGTTATTTAAGTCGTTTTTATGACTTAAGTCTATATTGTTGACTTAAATCATGATGATCTGCCAGTTAAGTGAGTAAAATGACTTAAATCAATTAATCAAACATTACATTTCTTATATTACCAATTAACGATTTTCTTACGAAGTATGATATTGTTAATTTATTGTATGTACAGATGACAAAACACAAAAATATGTTTCAAGCGGTAGATACCCGAGGGGCTGGATAAATAGCAAATTCCAACTTAGATTTTTTTACTGTAATGAATAGGCAGTCTTTTCATGAGCAAGGAAGTAATTTCTGAGTCAGTTCCACCACAAAATCAAAAAAAAAACGCTAAGAAACCTAAATCTTCATAAATAGTGCAGTCGCCAAAGAGTTTTTAATGCATTCCAGGAATATATAGATACATATTTGCTTGTTTTTGCTTAGCAAATAACAGTAATACTAGTTGTTTCTGAGTATTAAGGACTCGTTATAAATAAGTAGCTACAACAATGTCAATAAAACAAAATATAGAAATTATTGTTTTAGACAAGACATATTAATTAGCAAAATACATTCTTCATAACATAATCAAACACAAGGATTAACTAAACTTGATATATTATATTTATAAAAATATCAATCTAATATTCTTCAATTTCACAATTTTCGTCAGCATCAGAATCGCAAGCAATCTCTTTATAATCATTCTCCAAAGCCGCCAGATCTTCACGAGCTTCTGTAAACTCCCCTTCACCATGCTTTCACCGACGTACCAATGCACAAAAGCTCTCTTATCATACATAAGATCAAATTTGCGGTTCAATCTTGCCCAGGCTTCTGCAATAGCAGTCGTGTTTGTAAACATACAAACTGCACGTTGTACTTTAGCTAGATTTGCCCCAGGTACAACCGTCGGAGGCTGATAATTGATACCAACTTTGAACCCTGTAGGACACCAGTTGACAAATTGAAGGTTCTTCTTGCTTTTTATGGTAAGGATGGCGGAATTTACATCTTTAGGAACAACGTCTCCACGGTATATAAACTTTCCATGGCTCGGGTCGCATTTAACCATCTGATTGGCCGGTTCAAAACAAGCTGCTATGATATCCGCAACTGAAAGCTGCTCATGATATGCCTTGTCCACGGATATTACAGGAGCGTAAGTTGCTAATGAAAAGTGAATACGTGGGTAAGGAACTAAATTTGTCTGGAATTCGTTCAGGTCTACATTAAGAGAACCGTCAAAACGCAATGAGGCTGTGATAGAAGACACTATTTGTCCAATAAGGCGATTTAAGTTAGTGTAAGAGGGTCGTTCAATGTCTAACTTTGCTCTGCAAATATCGTATAAAGCTTCGTTGTCCACCATAAAGGCACAATCGGTATGATCCAGAGTAGTGTGGGTTGTTAAAATAGAGTTGGTAAGGCTCTACAATAGCGGTAGACACCCGAGGAGCTGGATAAATAGCAAATTCCAACTTAGATTTTTTATCATAATGGAGAGACAGTCTTTCCATGAGCAAGGAAGTAATTCCTGAGGCAGTGCCACCACAAAATGAATAAAACGCTAAGAAATCTAAATATTCCTAACTACTGCAATCAGTTTTTTATGCATTCTAGTAAAATATAGATACATATTTACCTGTTTCTGTTGTGTGTGTCCACAAAAATATAAAAAATTAGATGAGGCGTAAAATTAGCAAAATAAATTATTAATAAGGTAATAAAACACAAGAATCAACTAAACTCAATATATTTTTTTTATCAGAAATATCAATCTAATATTCTTCAATTTCATAATTTTCGTCAGCCTCAGAATCGCAAGCAATCTCTTTATAATCATTTTCCAAAGCCGCCAGATCCTCACGAGCTTCTGTAAACTCACCTTCCTCCATGCCTTCACCGACGTACCAATGCACAAAAGCTCTTACCGTACATAAGATCAAATTTGCGGTTCAATCTTGCCCAGGCTTCTGCAATAGCAGTTGTATTTGCCAACATACAAACTGCACGTTGTACTTTAGCTAAATCTGCTCCAGGTACAACCGTCGGAGGCTGATAATTGATACCAACTTTGAACCCTGTAGGACACCAGTTGACAAATTGAAGGTTCTTGTTGCTTTTTATGGAAAGAATGGCGGAATTTACATCTTTAGGTACAACATCTCCACGGTATAGTAAACAACAAGCCATATACTTTGCATGGCTTGGGTCGCATTTAACCATCTGATTGGCCGGTTCAAAACAAGCTGCTGTGATATCGGCAACTGAAAGCTGCTCATGATATGCCTTGTCCACGGATATTACAGGAGCGTAAGTTGCTAATGGAAAGTGAATACGTGGGTAAGGAACTAAATTTGTCTGGAATTCGTTCAGGTCTACATTAAGAGAACCGTCAAAACGCAATGAGGCTGTGATAGAAGACACTATCTGTCCGATAAGGCGATTTAAGTTAGTGTAAGAGGGTCGTTCAATGTCTAACTTTGCTCTGCAAATATCGTATAAAGCGTCGTTGTCCACCATAAAGGCACAATCGGTATGATCCAGAGTAGTGTGGGTTGTTAAAATAGAGTTGGTAAGGCTCTACAATAGCGGTAGACACCCGAGGAGCTGGATAAATAGCAAATTCCAACTTAGATTTTTTATCATAATGGAGAGACAGTCTTTCCATGAGCAAGGAAGTAATTCCTGAGGCAGTGCCACCACAAAATGAATAAAACGCTAAGAAATCTAAATATTCGTAACTACTGCAATCATCAAAGAGTTTTTTATGCATTCTAGTAAAATATAGATACATATTTACCTGTTTCTGTTGTGTGTGTCCACAAAAAATATAAAAAAAATTAGATGAAGCGTAAAAATTAGCAAAATAAATAATTAATAAGGTAATAAAACACAAGAATCAACTAAACTCAATATATTTTTTTTATCAGAAATATCTATCTAATATTCTTCAATTTCATAATTTTCGTCAGCCTCAGAATCGCAAGCAATCTCTTTATAATCATTTTCCAAAGCCGCCAGATCCTCACGAGCTTCTGTAAACTCACCTTCCTCCATGCCTTCACCGACGTACCAATGCACAAAAGCTCTCTTACCGTACATAAGATCAAATTTGTGGTTCAATCTTGCCCAGGCTTCTGCAATAGCAGTTGTATTTGCCAACATACAAACTGCACGTTGTACTTTAGCTAAATCTGCCCCAGGTACAACCGTCGGAGGCTGATAATTGATACCAACTTTGAACCCTGTAGGACACCAGTTGACAAATTGAAGGTTCTTCTTGCTTTTTATGGTAAGGATGGCGGAATTTACATCTTTAGGAACAACGTCTCCACGGTATATAAACTTTCCATGGCTCGGGTCGCATTTAACCATCTGATTGGCCGGTTCGAAACAAGCTGCTGTGATATCCGCAACTGAAAGCTGCTCATGATATGCCTTGTCTACGGATATTACAGGAGCGTAAGTTGCTAATTGAAAGTAAATACGTGGGTAAGGAACTAAATTTGTCTGGAATTCGTTCAGGTCTACATTAAGAGAACCGTCAAAACGCAATGAGGCTGTGATAGAAGACACTATCTGTCCGATAAGGCGATTTAAGTTAGTGTAAGAGGGTCGTTCAATGTCTAACTTTGCTCTGCCAATATCGTATAAAGCTTCGTTGTCCACCATAAAGGCACAATCGGTATGATCCAGAGTAGTGTGGGTTGTTAAAATAGAGTTGGTAAGGCTCTACAATAGCGGTAGACACCCGAGGAGCTGGATAAATAGCAAATTCCAACTTAGATTTTTTATCATAATGGAGAGACAGTCTTTCCATGAGCAAGAAAGTAATTCCTGAGGCAGTGCCACCACAAAATGAATAAAACGCTAAGAAATCTAAATATTTGTAACTACTGCAATCATCAAAGAGTTTTTTATGCATTCTAGTAAAATATAGATACATATTTACCTGTTTCTGTTGTGTGTGCCCACAAAAAATATAAAAAAAATTAGATGAGGCGTAAAAATTAGCAAAATAAATTATTAATAAGGTAATAAAACACAAGACTCAACTAAACTCAATATATTTTTTTTATCAGAAATATCAATCTAATATTCTTCAATTTCATAATTTTCATCAGCCTCAGAATCGCAAGCAATCTCTTTATAATCATTTTCCAAAGCCGCCAGATCCTCACGAGCTTCTGTAAACTCACCTTCCTCCATGCCTTCACCGACGTACCAATGCACAAAAGCTCTCTTACCGTACATAAGATCAAATTTGTGGTTCAATCTTGCCCAGGCTTCTGCAATAGCAGTTGTATTTGCCAACATACAAACTGCACGTTGTACTTTAGCTAAATCTGCTCCAGGTACAACCGTCGGAGGCTGATAATTGATACCAACTTTGAACCCTGTAGGACACCAGTTGACAAATTGAAGGTTCTTCTTGCTTTTTATGGAAAGAATGGCGGAATTTACATCTTTAGGTACAACATCTCCACGGTATAGTAAACAACAAGCCATATACTTTCCATGGCTTGGGTCGCATTTAACCATCTGATTGGCCGGTTCAAAACAAGCTGTTGTGATATCAGCAACTGAAAGCTGCTCATGATATGCTTTGTCCACGGATATTACAGGAGCGTAAGTTGCTAATGGAAAGTGAATACGTGGGTAAGGAACTAAATTTGTCTGGAATTCATTCAGGTCTACATTAAGAGAACCGTCAAAACGCAATGAGGCTGTGATAGAAGACACTATCTGTCCGATAAGGCGATTTAAGTTAGTGTATGAGGGTCGTTCAATGTCTAACTTTGCTCTGCAAATATCGTATAAAGCTTCGTTGTCCACCATAAAGGCACAATCGGTATGATCCAGAGTAGTGTGGGTTGTCAAAATAGAGTTGTAGGGTTCGACAATAGCGGTAGACACCTGGGGAGCTGGATAAATAGCAAATTCTAACTTAGATTTTTTACCGTAAAGGACAGACAGCCTTTCCATGAGCAACGATGTAAATCCTGAGCCTGTTCCACCACCAAATGAATGGAAGATTAAGAAACCTTGAAGACCACTGCAGTTATCAGAAAGTTTCCTTATGCGGTCCAATACAGTATCGATTATTTCTTTTCCGTTGGTGTAGTGTCCTCTGGCATAATTATTAGCCGCGTCTTCCTTTGCTGTTATAAGTTGTTCAGGATGAAACAGTTGTTTGTAGGTGCCAGTGCGGACTTCGTCTACCACTGTAGGCTCCAAATCCACAAAAACAGCACGGGGGACATGTTTGCCCGTTCCCGTTTCACTAAAAAATGTATTGAAGCTGTCCTTTTCAGAACCTACGGATTGGTCCGAGGGCATTTGTCCATCGGGATGGATACCATGTTCCAAACAATACAGTTCCCAGCAAGCATTACCGATCTGGACGCCGGCTTGACCGATATGAACTGAGATGCATTCGCGCTGAAAATAGTAAAATAATCTTAATAACATGTTGTGTTCAGCTCACCAAATAAAGAACGAAATCCAAAGAGATTTGTTTTTGTATATTGCCAAGACTTCTGTTTAGGCCGACTTGGGACTGGGTTTATAGGCCTTGGTGCATTTCAGTTGATTTCAACAAATTCCGACCATTATTAATATATAGCCGCTGCCGCCGTCATGTTGATCGCATTAAAATAATATTGAAACCGTGGTTTTGTCATAATATTTAAGTATTTTAGTTTTTTGCTAGTGTAGTTATTGAGACTATAAAACACATCCGTACGACAACAACAACAACAACACAACGCTTTATTGTGCAAAAAGCCAAAACAGCTTCATCGACAAAGCAAAACAAAAAAGCACAAAAACAAATATACAAATAAACAAGTAAAAATGTCATACAATACAAATAAATAAAAAAAAAATTACGTCATAAAATTACAAATAAAACATATATGGACATTGCAGAACACAGGCGTATCTAGAAAATTTTACAACAGGAAAACTGTAAATGGATAAAATAATGTTATATATCATGAAATCAGTTATAAAATATTAAATACTAGACCTTTAACCAGTGTGTGAGATGATCAAAATTTTAAAATTCAAAATTGTTCATGATTAAACATCAACAAAAAAGTCGTTTACCGCATATAGGGCTCTCTCCAGTAAGTATAATTTCAGAGCTTTGCGAAATGCGGGAAAGAATGAAAGTGACTTGATATTCGAAGGCAAATGATTGTACATTTTCTTGGCATTGTACAGTATTGAGCCCTTAACTAGTTCTGAGCTCGAGGTTGGCAGATAAATATCGTGCTCCGCATTCCTAAGTGGATAGTTGTGAGAAGGCCTTTCCGGAATAGAGAATATGTGCCTGCGGATTAAGCAAATGGATTCAAAAATGAATAAGAAAGGAAGAGTCAGTATTTTGAAATTTTTAAAGAAATTCTGGCACTGAATTCTACGGTTTAGTCCCAATAAGTATCGAACTGCTCTCTTTTGAAGTTTGAAAATACGATCAAATTTTGTCGCGCAGCAAGTACCCCAGATTGGAAGGGCATAACGAAGATGCGACTCAAAAAGGGCATAATAGCCCATTCTAGAGGTTGATGAATTAATTCCTTAGAAACTGATCTTAGCGTAAAACAAGCAGAGCTTAGTTTCTTTGATAAGGCTTCGATGTGCAAGTCCCATTTTAACGAGTTGTCTACAACAAGTCCTAAGAATCCCACAGAGTCCACGACGTCAATAGTGGTGTAGGTACAAAAGGTTGTATAGTACTTTTATATGACAAAACTTTAGTTTTTGAAAGGTTGAGGCATAGGAGAGGCATACGAGGTTGCGGCATACGAGGTTTGTGTGATGTAACGGTGTATCGGGTAGTATAAAATAAGTGAAAATAAATTCGCACTAGGCGTGCTTTGTTGTGACAATTTCAAAGGTTAATAAAATTGCCAAAAAAATGGTAACGCGTAAAGGAGAGCGCAATTAAGGCGTTGTTAGGTTCAATAACATTCCATAACTCAACTTTCCCGGATATTTAACTCTCCCAAAACAACATTATATAGCTTCATAGTTTCTCACACCGATTTGATCAGTAGCAAAAATGGATTCAAGCAGTTCGGCCAAACAAGTGAGAAAACAAAGTGCTCATTACATAATCAGAAAATTAAATAGACATACCTATACTATGAGAGGATAAAATATAATTAGCAATATTAATGGTATACTTTTTTTAATCAACTAGTGATTAAATATTTTATGAAAATCTTCTAAAATTATAACTATGTACCTTTAAAAAAATCGTTATAGCCGAAATAGCCCCAATTGTGCTCCACTAGCAAAACCGGTGATTAAAACTATGCTCGCTACCATAGTTGAACTCATCTAAAAAGTTTTTTTAACTGGAATAATAAATAATAATACAAGTTAAACCTTCTGCAGATATCAAAATATTTACTTTTTTATTTTTATTATTAGAATTTTCACAAATTATACTTCATAACACTTTTAGAATAATTAAATAATACATTTTTCGTATACTCGCTATTTAAACCCGTGTATTTTTGTATATGATGGTTGTTTACGATATTCTCCGATAAGCACCGGCGAAGAATGCACCAAGCTCATAGCAGGGAAAAATCATGTAAAATATAATTCCAGTAAACCTATTTAACGGAATTTTAACACTTTTAATTTATGTGTTCTTGCTATGTCATTTGTGCCGGCCCAGATTGGCAAGTATCATTCTATATTTATCGAATTGTAATTATATTTAATTTTTAATTATTTAATTTATAAAGTAACATCAAATATTAATTTTCTGCATGTGACATTATCTAGGGATTTGGTGATAAAGATGTTTGTAGGGCATTTTTCAAACATAAATTGATAACGTAGTATTAACTTATCACAATTTAGGTATTCAGATAAAAATCGAATATTAAATGCAAATATAAATAATATTTTATCAAACTTAAATCAAACAAAAAAAATGATATAATATACAAGGTGTCAAAAAATATTATATCTAACCTTGGTGAATAATTCTACAGATAAAATAAAACGAAAAAAAAATTCCTATGAACCATATGCCCTAAAATGGCTTCTCGTAGATAGAAGTTACATACCTCGAAAGGTCAAATAAAAATAATGTATTTTGTTTATTTTTAAGACCTTTGGTTAACCTTTTTTCTTGAAATTTGGAACTCTTATGGCGCGTTCTCATGACTCGTGTATTTGGCAAGTATTTTTTGTTGGCATACAGGGTCTGGCGGGAATGCGGCGCAGTTCGTCGCAGTTTTTTCGTCGGTTCCGTGTGGATAGAAAGTCACAATTTATTTAAACACTATTTATTTAACACTAATTAACAAAATCAATAACGATAAAAGACTTAAAGAACTATTTACAAATTTATTTACAATTTATCTAATTATTTATCTAACAGGAATGTATTTTCAATTTCGCGCGTCAACGGTATTCGTCTTATTTATATTAGCCGTCTTTAGGCCCCAGCCGCCGGCTTTTATACCCACAGCTAAAGATTTCTAGAATAGTCCATAGATCGTTAGGTGCATAGAGAAGGTTTCGATTGTTCTCGTATGTACTACTCCATTCCAGTGGAACTCGATTTTTCTCGAACGTCCGAATGAATCGTTACGGTGTCTATTCTTTAATGCGATGTTAAGGTCATCTGAGGGCGGGACATATAGTTAGGTTAGGTCGAGTCCACACGGGTCCGCAACACTATAATAAATAATAACTCTGTATAAATGCCCGAAATTCTGTATAAATGCCCGAGTTACAGTGTATACCCTGTATACCAATTACAAATGTTTGTCGAAACGAGTCGTGAGAATGCGCCTTTACACATATTTTAATGCTAAAGCCAATGGCGATAGTGTAAAATTCCGCAACAGCCCTGAAAGGGCACTTTCAATTAGGGTACCTACTGGTGGTACTTCGTTTATCCTTATAGATTTTATATACAGTAATTTCAACAAGTGACAATAAAAATCTCGGAATTTTTTACATAAAAAATGTGCTCTTCGTTTTGTTCGAAATGGTGACTACCAACCAATCCAAATTCTCGCAACAGTAGAGAAGACCAACTACCTAAACTTTGTGAATTGAAAGTTTTCTGCGTGAATATATGTTCAGTGAAGAATAAAATCGAGGAACTTGAACACGTACTAGAGAACAAATATGAAATTGTGTGTATTGTCGAGCACTTTTTAAATCACGAAGAAGCTAAATTATACTGTCTTCAAAACTATTATATAGCATCATGTTATTCAAGAATACAAAAATAAACATGGTGGTGCAATGATATTGTGTAAAATAAACTTTTAAGTAAGACTGTAAGAAATATTGATACACTCTCTAACGAAATGAACTGTGAAGTAGCAGCCGTAGAATTAGACTTCTTAAATTGTATAATAGTAACTATTTATAGACCACCAAGCGGTGATTTGTATATCTTCTTGGATATTATTGAACAAATATTGATTGTAACTTTGAATCTTAACAGATATGTAATTGTCAATGGTGATTTTAATTTTAATTTTATAAACCCTGACTATAGATGTAAATTGTTTCTAGATTTAATTAGTTCATTTGGCTTTTCACAAGATATTTTTGAAAAAACACGGGCGGAAAATTGCTTGGACAATATTTTTGTCAATTTTAGAAACGACCTATCCTTCAAAACAAGGGTATATGACCCTTTACTATCGGATCACTGTGCTACTCTTATAAATGTTAATTTTGTTTTAAAGGAAATGCAAAACCAAAGACATAAATTAGAATTTCATAGGCCATTATCACTTAAAGGTCAAAATCGGTTTTTTCACCTGTTGGATGGTGAAGACTGGAGTTGCTTGGAAAACTCGGAGAGCGTGGAGTGGCAGTTCGGTGTATTTTATTCTAAACTCGTTGACTATCTGAATATACCATTCCCTTTAGTCAAAAAGAGGGCAAATCAACGTGGTAGAATTTCTTGGTATAATGATGAGCTGAAACGTATGCGTGACCATTTAAAATTTCTAACAGAATTAAGAAACAATTATAATTTCCCGGAAATCAATACTGAATTAAGGTCTTTTAGGAAAAAATACAAAGCAAAAATTACTTTTTGCAAAAAACAAGCAAACTCGAAATATATTAAAGACGCTGACAATATGGTGAAGGCTACATGGGATATAATAAATTCATACAGAGGTCCTATAAAATATACTGTGAGTACGAATGTTAGAGCAAATGATTTTAACTATTTTTTTTGTGAATATAACCGAAAATATTGTAGTCTCTGAGCGTAGAAAATCGCACAGCGCTTGACTATATAACAAAATTTTCTAATAAACCTTTAAATCTAAATTTTTCCTTTACAGAGGTAACTTTCATAGAAACTCGAAACGCCGTAAATTCATTAAAAAATAAGCATAGTAAAGATATTTATAACATGACCATTCCACTAGTTAAAAAAGTAATAAATTTATTAATATATCCTCTAACTAAATTATTCAATAGATGTATAAGAGACGGTACGTATCCCAGTTGTTTAAAAATTTCCAAAATCGTACCAGTATTTAAAAGGTGATCCTGAAAGTGTGAATAATTATAGACCTATATAGCTTTAATACCCCACACTTTCAAAAATTTTTGAATGTTTATTGAAACACCAGTTAACACATTACTTTGAATCTAATAACTTGTTCATAGAGAATCAGTTTGGGTTTCGTAAAGGAAAATCTACCACAATGGCTTGCATTCATTTGATGGAAGATATAATTAAGGGTTTTGAGAGCGGTAACTATGTTGGTTCGGTCTTCTGTGACCTTACCAAGGCCTTTGATTGTGTGGATCACAACATACTTTTACAGAAAATTTCATATTATGGAGTAAATAATTTGAGTTCGAAATTATTGGCTGATTATCTTGTAAACCGATCTCAACAAACATTAGCCAACGGTACGCTCTCTAATGTGAGTGTTGTAAAATATGGGGTTCCGCAAGGCTCAGTATTAGAACCTTTATTGTTTTTAATTTACATTAATGATTTACCCGTTACTACACTTCAGAATAATTTGATTTTGTTTGCCGATGACACTACTATCTTATGTGCTCGGAAACCCCTGAAGAAATTCAAACTAATTTTGAATCGATTTTGCTAAATGTTGGTGACTGGTTTCAGGCAAACCGATTATGCCTGAATGACACTAAAACAGAAATAGTTATTTTTTCTCTTAAAACAAAATATAAAGTAGATTTCTGCAGTGTCCGATTTCTGGGAATAAAATTTGACACAAAACTGAGCTTTGAAAGTCACGTAGACTATGTGGCAGGGAAGGTTTCCATAAGCATGTATGCATTTCGGCGATTGGCTAAGTGTGTGGAGAGTGATGCCTATCATGCTCTCATTCACTCGGTGCTTACTTATGGAATACTTGTTTGGGGTCACTCAGCTCATGCTGACAGACTGTTTCGACTGCAAAGAAAAGCATTGAGAATTTTGTCAAATTTAAGTTATCAAGCAGATACAAAAAACGCCTACAAAGACTGGGAATACTGACACTTCCATGTTGCTATATCCTCCAGTGTCTTTTATTTGTGAAGGATAACCTAGAACTATATACTACGCATGATGAACAACACAATTATGCAACCAGAAACAGAATGAATATAAAGCCTGTTCATTTGCGCCTCGGAAGATCTTGGAACTCCAGCCTTCATTATGCTACTGCATGCTTTAATAAATTATCTCAAAATGTCAGAAATTTACCAAGACATCAATTTAAAACGACAATTAAAAGCTACCGTCTTGATATGGCTTATTTTAGTGTGATTTTTTAGAAAGCAGTGAAGGGTTATAGCGTGGTTACAGGTTAAAACATTTACATTGTGTATGTATTTTTTTTTTGTGTACTTTAAATTACTGTTAGATAAATAATTATTGTGCTAATTTTATAATTTTGCATTTTACAAAATATGACTTTGTGTAAGGACACTTGTATCTATTAACATGCAATAAATGATTTGATTTGGTGAACGGTTTTCAAGATATTTGGGTTTAAAGATTACGATGCATCGATTTTAGCATTAGTGAAATGATAAAATATGTAAAGAAATTTTAAATAAATGTTTTTTTTATATTAAAATCGATGCATCACAACCAAAGCCCAAATATCTTGAAAACCGTTCCGAACTAAACGAAGGGCACCTTTCTTTCATCTTTCCGTGACTCTTGTTGTATGCAATGCATTTTTATATTCTTTTACTTGTAAATCCACTTATATTTTTTTAATCAAACCTATTTATCAAATACAGATACTTTGATAGACACCTCGTAAAAGTTTACAGACTTGGAGTTCTTTTTATTTTTTTAGTATTCAATTTAATTAGCAGGATATGATTGTAAATATACATTATTTGGGAGTAAGATATTTTGTTATGCATTAAAGGTTGTTAATTTTAAAAAACTGCAACAATTAAAAGAAAACATACACCGTTGCTTTTTTTTATTAATTATAGCTACTTTGTTTATGCTGTTTTAAAATTGAAAATGATTGCAACGCTTACAGAATTCCAACTTTGTATATGTTTATGTTCTAAACAATTATGCCTGATATTTTTTAAACATTTGTATTAATGAGGGTACTTATGCACTTGAGAAATAAATATTTATTATATTGCCTATATTTTTTAACGTAAAGTCATGTCATATATTGTGTTTGTTACAGAATATCTACGAATCTACTATGATTGTGTGTTATTAGCTAGTAGATAGATAGTATCTTATCGGATTGTTGATTCTTTTATCCAATTTAAAATTATGTAGAGAATGTTACATTCGAGATACTAGTTTAATTAATATCCTACATATCGCAAAAAATGTTGTTGGATGCTAAGAACTTCAATCGATACTAATTTCTTACCATATTCCTGCACTTGTCTTGGTACTATATCAATTTCTGGATAAAAGGTTGTTCGATTAGGCTGGTTATGTAGCCTGTCAAACTCACAAGTTACGAATGAGCAATTATATTTACCTTAATATATTTTATATTTTATCTATTTATCAGGAAAAATGGACGGATTATTTATTTTTAATTATTTAAAAAATAATTAAAAATAAATAATCCGTTTGTTTGTGTATTTTCGGTTTATATGCTGTTTTTTCTGATAATACTAAATAAGGAAACATATTATTTTGATAATATAATAAGTAATATCACGAGTGGTTTATAGAATGATTATAGTCAATAAATCAAAAGAGTAAGTATTGAGATAGATTAGGGTTTTAGATAATATCAATATTTAGTTTTAACAATTTATATATCTCAGAATAAATAATTTATAGTTTTAGAATTACAACTAATTATAATATTAAGTAATTACAATATAAAACTTGGAAAATAAGTTCGTTGTAATAATGCTTTTATTTATTCACTAGAATAGTTAGTTTCTTCTGTATCGCATTCTATTTGAAAAATATGGTGTGCAGCCGATATACTTTTCTGTTAGTCGGCGGTTCGATGTTTTCTGCTATGCAGTTTTTAATCAACTTACTAATTTTTGTGTTAACTACTAATGACCGCTGTTTATTTTTAACCACATCACTAAAACAAGACAATTTATTGCCTATGTATTTGATTGAATAACTTCCAAACACTCTTTTACTTCTAATAAGATTTCTTCATTTTTATTAGCTTTATTTTCTAGCTTGTATGCATTCGCATAACACCTGTTCTACGACTTGTATGTGAGACAACAAGTTTGTAGGGCACTGAGGGTTTAATTTTGTGATGTTTGTGTAGTTGCCAATTGTTTGTTTTATTAATTTCATTTTACGGACTAAAGTTGTCAGAGACAAGATTTGAGTTGCTAGAGATAGAAGACACATACACTGTCAGATTAGAGTTGCGTGGGCGCAACTAAGGTCAGATTGGCCGAATGCAAAACTTGGAAAATAAGTTCGTTATAATAAAGCTTTTATTTATTCACTATTCTATAAAGAATATGCATTCCTTCGGAAACTCTCTATTTATTTATCCAGCAATGCTAAAACACTCTATTTGAAAGTCGATGAGAAAATAGTATGGTTCATTGGCAAGCAATGTAAATATTTGTGATCAGGTAAAATTGTGATGTAAGACGATTCTTAGCTTGCCGGCGGCGGGTCAGTAGTAGACGGGCCGGCCGGCTGTGTAGTGTTGTGTTTTGTCACAGAGCTGACAATTGGAGGTTGCGAGTCTTTTGACTATCATAGTTGCGAGTCGTTTGACTGTAAGGCAACAGGTCGTTTGACCACAGGAAGAAAACCTCTTGTGACGTCTTGCCTTCGAGGTTGGTCTTGAGAGTTTGAGGTCTCCATAATGTTTCTCGAATGACACGATGCGGCGTTGGGGTAGTGAGGTACCCCAATTAGCCTATTCGATTGGTATTCGAATCTGTTTAGCGGCAGATTTGCGTCCGGAGGAAGCCTCTATACTATTTCAGGTGACACTAGCTAGTTGTTGAAGTTTTTTAACCAATAGATCCGAATAATATTATTTGAATTAGATGGAAGATATGGAATGGGATATATTGAATAGAATTTCAGCGATGTCAGTGGCTAGGGGGCGGAGTACCCTCGGGTGAGTTTTACTATTTAACTATCAATTTTATCCAGATCAGTAAATGTTTGTTTTGTCATTTTCATGTACAATATGAGTGTGCTTGTCAATGACCAACTAAATCGATATTTGAGGTGAATTTGCATTTAGACCCTGTTGAGTAAGCCCCAGAAATAGGCGATTTTACAACAGTAAAAATAATATTTACTTTACAGTATTTTAAAACAAACAGCTGATATAACCTTCAGTTTTAAAATTTCATTTTTGATAATATATGAAAAGCAAACCAGAATTTTCTATTCTTATTACTTTTTGATTGATTATTTTTGGACTGCATTTTACGTTTATTTTGCACTAGCATTACATTTTGTTATTTATAATATTTAATGAAATCCAATTCTTGTTACCAGTATTTTTCAAAATCATAACCATGTGCATCAATTTTATAAAACGCCCTGTGTTCTTTTTTTTAACTGAAAAAACTTTGAAAGGGAAAAATTAAATATGTTTAAATGTGTTTTTTGTATTAGGTATTATTTTTATAAAGATTTATGTGGTGATAAAAAAAATCAAGGAAGCTTAGCTATAATATCTAGAGATGTCTGCAAAGATTTATTTATATTTCAAATATAAATAAATGTATTGCTCGGGCATCTGTAGATATTAGGAATATATAGCTATCTGTTTCTTGTATTTTTTCAAACAACATCACAACATAAATCTTAATAAAAATATAAATAATATATTTTATATACTGAAATTTTAATCTGTTTACTGCCTGTAGGAAGTAGGTAATTGTGATCAGGGGGTACGTAGTAATTTTTAATTTGAGATTTGATTTAATGTCATGTCACTTTACCAGAACGCCAATGGTTTTTAATAGACGTTTCTGCTATAAAACTAATGTGTTTTCTGAATAGTTATATCTAGATATTTTGAATAGTTTTATCTTTTTTTGTGTTTTTTTTTGGCTTCTGACGACGCGCGACGGGGAGAGACATACTTCCTGAAACGTTAAGTATTATTTTGGCAGACAAATTCGGGGGTTTTACTAGGAAAAGGCGACTGACATGTTAGTTTACATTTCTAACATGTTTCTACTCAGTGGTATTTTACAAAAAAACCCTTTTTGTTCTGATGTCTCATCTCAAAATATCTCTCTTTCAGTACGGTAATATAGAAAATGTTTTCAAGAAATTAATCCACCACAAAGGTACCGTATGATCGAAAAAAAAACGGCGTCCAGTTGGCTTGGAAATGACGATCGATGACCTTTCCCATATAATTTTACATATAAAATGACAGTGATCTTCATTTCATAGCCATCGCTGACGCCGTTTTATTCGATCATACGGTATATGTAGACATTAACTTGTATAAGTTTTTGTCAAAAAATCACTACCTATTTTGATAAAGCTGACTTTTCTAAAATTATTAGATAAAATGCATATTTTAAATATTTTTATAAAGGTATTGAATTCATTTTGATAATAACATGATTTAAAAATAGAGTGGTTTATTAATATTTATTGGTTAGTACTGTAATTTTGTTTTTTATTGATTAGAAATACCCATTTACAACATCCTGATCTATTTAACAAGGGTGATAATATAAAATACTGCTTTCATGTGATAATTATTTTATTAATTTTACGTAGGATTATAAATAAAATACTAATAAAATAATACATATATTTATTAATTTATTTTTAAATACATTTATGTTATAATAGTGCCAGGACCCGTCTATATTGAAGACAAACCAAAACTAAAATAACTAAAAGTAACAACTAAATAACTAAAAGTCAAAACTAAATAAACAACTAAATAAAAATAACAAACAAATATAATAAAACAATAATTAATTTCCTATTATGAAATTAGACTTTAATTTTTTTTTTTGAATTTTAATAAATTGTAAAATCTGTATAACTGCACTGAGGTATGACTTGTTAATGGAATATTGTAATGCTCACCGACAACTGTAGAATCCTAAGGAGCAGGACAAATAGCAAACTTTAGTTTGGCTTTCCCGCCATAGTTGGTCGACTATGGCAAGAAATCAATTTTTTGGTTTTTTAAACTTTCATAAATTGTGAAAGTATGACTGCACTGAGGTATGAATGTTGTAAGGCTAAACAACAACTGTAGAATCCTATGGAGCCGAATAAATGGTAAACTCTAGTTTGGATTTTTTGTCATAGTTTTTCGACTATGGCAAGAAATCCAAGCTGGAGTCTGCTGTTTATCCGGCTCCTCAGGTATCTACAGTTATTTTTCTATGAACAAAGAGGTAAAATCTGAGCCAGTGCCAACACCCAACGACAGGTAGATCAAAGACAGCTTGCAGACCAATACAATTTTTAGGCTGTTTCTCGATAGGTTCTAACACAGTATTGATGAATTCCTTCTTGTATAATTGTTATCTGGATCTTTTTTTTGGATGAGACAATTATCTCTAAATGCCAGAGTGTACTATGTCAATTACAGTAGACTTTAAAACCACAAAAATAGTACGCAAAACATTTTTGAGAATTTCTTTTTCACTAAAAAGGGCATGAAAGTTTTTGTCTTGAATTATCAATTGTCAAAATCTTCCTTCTATTTTTAATCTAAACCTTTGTCTAGCCCATGTAAGGTGAAGTTCATTTGCGCTGAAAATAGAATAACAATGTACAGGGTGGTCGAAATGGTCTGTTTTAACAGAGAAAACCTATTTCCTGACTAGATAGAGCAAAACCGACATAGATGTCATTTGCACGATTTCTGAGACACGTTTAATGGCTTAAACCGCCTGTCGATATTTTCACTGCCAAGTGAGATACGGGGTCTTTTTGAATTTTTTACCATTTGGAAAATTGCCCATAACTTTTGTATTTCGCGGAATAATAAAATTCTGTAAAAACGTTCTTAAGGCACTTTTTTTAAGCACGATCCAGTGGCGTAGCCGGTTTTTTTCTATACTTGCTTTTTGTGTCTAATAATAAAAAATATAATTTTTTAAATGGAAACCATAGTTGGCTATGAATTTAAAAAAAAAATGCTGGTGTTTAACCCTTTCCAACGATATAAAGTTAAGTGTATTTATTTCTAAGAATGAGAAAAAATAGGTTTTTTATGTTTGTATCGAAGCTGGCATTGACTTTGTGTTGACCTAGTTGACTAATTATTTTTTATCACAATTTAGTATTCTATATTATTATTTATCTGCATAATTAAAGACTTCTGAAAAGGTAAATCAACATTCTATATTAGTATTACCATTTACAATTAAAAAGCCAGGGTTATACTGATCTATTAAATAAGAAATTTAAGAGAGAACTGGATTGAAACAAGAGGCCCCATATCTCTTTTTTATGGGTTATGAATCAAAACCAATACCAAACCTTCATATATCATCAAAATAATATATAATTAATTTAATTAAATTCTTACCATATTGTTTTACTTTATA